GGGCAGTTCCAACTTTGCAAGGACAGTCTGGTGCTTCTGACTCACAGCCTGTAAGTACATTTTTTATATTTAAAGAATTTGCCACTGATAATTCAAACGCGAGTTTTAAGCAGTGTAGAGTAGCGCTTGTTGTTTGTCATTTCTCCGATCACAAATGCAGACATGGTTTTATGTTTACGCGGCGCGATACGCAACGCGTAAAAACACAGTATAAGTCATCATAATCAGTAATTATGTCCCCACTGGATGCAACAAATGCCTCATTTGTAATGGGTTTTATTGGTTTTGTCTCAGCGCTCCAGGAGACGGCATCACAGTATGGCAAGGGGCGTAACATTTCTGTCACACGCTTGAGGTATTCAGCCAATCACAATGCACTGGATAGCTGGCCAATCAGCGTACACCTCGCTTTTCAGAAAGATGAGCTTTGTAAAAATCAACGCATTTCAGAAAGGCGGGGCATAGAGGAGCAACAATAATGTACATTATGTGGAAAATAATGTGTTTTTTTAACCTTAAACCGCACAAACACAGGGCTCCAGACTAACACTTGAGAGCAATGGCGCCAGCGCCACTAAGTTCCACAGATGGTGGCGCCAGGAGCAGATTTGGTAGCGCTGGGGGTGGTGTGTGGGAGTATTAAAATATAGATCATTTAATCATAAAATTACTATTGTATTGCATTAATAAGTGCAGTTACTAATAATATTACATGTTCATTTCTTGTTTATTTTTCTTTAGTTTATTGTTCATACAAATTTGACAGATTCGACTATTTCTACCACAGCACCATGGTTACAGTTAGCGTTACCCAGAGCCGTTGAGAAAGTGTGTTTCTCAACAGCTCTGGCGTTACCGCTTCTGGTTTCCTGACGTATGTCAGCGCTGTTTATAACAGAGAATTCTGTGCAGAATTTGATGGATCCTCACTAGATCTCGCAGCAACCTTATCATTGTGCGGCGAATTCAAACACTTCTCACTGAATATCGCAGCACTGTTGCATCTGTGCAGTAACAGTGTCGCGAAATCAACTTTGGCTCCTGAGTAAAGCTGTTCTGAGCTCGGACAAGTTTGTTTGCGTCGCGGTCCGAGCTGATAAACGGTCCACGCCGGGCAGCTGAAACGTAGCTCGGTTTAGTTTCGCTTGCCGTTTGATGTTTCTCAAATGTAACAGAAATGGCAGCGCTTATGAGCTGGACAACGCGGTGGTCGCGCCAGTGCGACCGCTCACAAAAATTAGTCGCACCGGCAGAAAAAATGGTCACAGTCTGGAGCCCTATAAACACATTGCATTACACCAAATACACAACATAATGTTCTTTTTAGCAACGTCATATGACCCCTTTAAGTTGTCTAAGATTAGTGCGTGTTGTCGTGTTCCCCGTAAAGGGCAGATGTATCGATACTCAAAACCACGATCAGAAATGCAGCGATTGGCTGGCGGCAAGATAGCAAGGCAATGACATCATATAATAAAAAAAAAAACACCTGACAAAAAACTCCAGTAGCCCCTCACTGCAGAACACAAGATCCAGGGGGCGTGGTTGGATCCACATCTAGGGGGTGGAGACGGGTAGGTTTAGGTATATGTAAGGTGGAAGGAGTTGGATCTGGATCCAACCACGCCCCCTGGATCTTTTTTCTATACTTTGTATGCCCATCTTTATTTTTAATATTACACTTCCTCCGCAGCATGTGTTGCACAAATTTCTTTTGTGAAATTTCAGCTGCTGTTTGCTGGAGGGGGTTGTGTTTTACTGCTCTACTCTTTCAAACAACCTAGAGCTATTCTATTGGATTAAGGCCATAGTTTTCACTTTTTCACCAATTTAACAGTGTACTTTGGATTGTTATCATGCTGGAATATTCCTCTTTTGCCAAGTTTTTGTAGCCTTGTTATCAGACAACATTTTTGTATATCTTCAGGCATATAGCACTTTCTGAGCTTTAATAATTAATCAGTTCAAACTCCTGTGGTGTCTAAATCACCTTAAGCTTGTAAAT